AGATAAGAGTCTTAGAATCCTCACTTCTAACAGCATTCTAAAATTTGCTTCTGGAAATCCATAATTAGAGTCAATATTCTTAGCCAATACAATAATTCAAGTATATCATTTCTTCTTTGGTGTTCATTTTTTTTTCATTTTTCAGGAGTCAGTTGCATATAATTTTCCATGGTGTTAAGGGTTTATTGTTAAAAATGGCTTCCCCACAAGGGTATTGGTTAGTCACACTATTAAATTGAGCTGATCCAGCAGCAGAATTTTTGGATCCTCCTAACCAGCAGCAAGGAATAGAAGATAGATAGATAGAAAGATAAATAGATGATAGATAGATAGATGATAGATAGATAGATAGATAGATAGATAGATAGATAGATAGAGCATTCTTTGGGGCCAGAGATTCTTGTGCCAGTCAGACTAGGGCTTATGGAAGCAGCAACCACAGCAAAGAACCAGAGACCTGACATGAGACAGAGCAGATTTTGAGTCTCCTATTCCATGGAACCAGAACTAGGAGCCTTTTGGCCAACTTTATGGAAGACGTAGGGTGGGAGTGAGCCATAAATGGCAGAACAGAGAGCATGCAATACTAATCTATGAGACTCAAGGCTTAGGTACCATTTTGGAAGCTCTCCTGACTGCATTCTGCTATTAACCTGAATTATAACCTTTGAACTTAGCTAATATGGTTCTATGTAAGCTATCACATCAGCTCTTGGACCCATTACAGCAGTAAGATTGGTGTTGGGAAGAGTTGAAAGCAGGGTGAGAGCATGGATAACATATCTGACCTCATGGAAATTGGTTTTGTATTGATGTTGTTGACAGGGACTGTTCTCCTTTGTGAAGTTGGTCAAGGTCAGATATGGCCATCTTGACATAGCACGTGCTGTTTTTATACTTATCAAAAAGGTATCTTTGCTTTTTAACACTTTAAAGAATCTTTTGCAGCAGATCTATCCAATAAAATATGTTTCTTGGTTTCATGACCCATTTTTATGGGTATTGATTATTGATAAAAGTGCAAGAAAATCGTTGACAACTTCAACATTTCCTCTATTTTTTAATGATACTGGTTTTGGTCCAGTAATGAAAAATTTTGTCTTTTTTATGTTGAGGTGCAATCCAAACTGATGGCTCTATATAGTATTTAATCTTAATGATTAAATTCTTGAAGTCCCTTCATTGTTAGCAAGATTGTATCATTTACATATTATAGGTTGTCATTTAGTCTTTCTCCTATCCTGATGCCACATTATTCTTCATATAGTGAATTCTCAGATAATTTTCTCAGAAAATAGATTGAAATGTATGGTGAAAGGATGCAAATATAATACTCTTTTTTTAATTAAAACATGTAGCATCCCCTAGCTCTGTTCGGATGATTGCCTTTTTCTTTATATAAAGATCATGCATGAGCACTTCTAAGTGTTCTGGAATTCTCATAATTCACACTGTGATAGACTGTAATGAATCACATAGTCCAATGCATTTCCATGCCATTGTTTCTTGTTATGTGCCATCGAGTTACTTGCAACTCATAGCAACCCTATGTACATTAGCCCTGAAACCTGCCCTATTCTGAACCAATCTCATCATCTCCAACAGACCTAATCCCATTTCTCCAGTGCCCGAGTCAATTAATCTCATCCTGGATGTTCCTCTGCTGCCCTGTCCCTCCACTCTTCTAAGCATGATGTGCCAATTCATTTCTTTGAGTTTCTTCTTTACTTTTACTGACACTTTGCTTTTCACAGTATGATCCCCTCCCTGACCCCTAAGGATTCGTACCTCCTGGAACATACACAAGGTATATGCCATGAAGAGTCCCTATGCTTGCCTTTAAAGAACAACTGGGTTGCGCTTTCTTCAAAACAGATTTGGTGCTCTTCTGGCAAAATAAGGCATACTCAATATTCTTCACCAACAACACAATTCAAAGACACCCACTGTTATTCATTTTCCAACTCACATGAAACAACTTAAAATATCATGGATTGGCTCAGGCATACCTTCATCTTTAAACTCACAGCCTTGCTTGTGAGTAACCTTAAGCAAGTCATCATCATTCAGCATTATTTCAAACAATGTTTGCTGTTTTCTTAGGTTTTCTGGGTGTCTTTTACATCAGATGCAAATGGCCCATCTTGCTTCTTAGGTTGAAATTCCACCATAATCTGTCCAATATAAGTGACCCTGCTGGTACTGGAAGGACTAGTGGTACAACTTCCATCATCACCACAGTATAATTAACAGACAAGTGTGAAAGAAGAAGGATAAGTACTTTAAAAATATGGCCGTGGTGATAGAAACAATTTGGGAGACTGCATGTTCAATTTCTACCAGACCAAACCTATTTATCAGAATATGTTCTAGAACATATTTCATACCCTTTGATGACATATAATTTGGTCTTTTTTTTCCACCCTTTCATCTCTTTTGCATGTATAATGTCCTTGATGCTATCTTATAGTTCTTCTGGTCTTCAGTCATTTGTGCATAATGCATCAAATCTGTTCTAGAGATGATCTATTCTTCTGAAATACTTTTAAATTCTTCAGCTTATACTTGTACTTGCATATAAGCAATTTGGAGTTTGTTCTGTAGTTTGCTCCTAGCCTTATCTGAGGATAATACTAAGTTTTTTCATGCTCTCTTTCTACACATGTAAATAATGGCATAATATTTTCCCATGTAGATATAGATAAGCAGAGAGCTCTGGTGGCCTAGCAGTAAGAATCTCTGTGGTTCCAATCCACTAGCTGCTCCATGGAAGAAGGATAGGCAATCTCCTCCTGTGTGATTAAAAGACTCGGAAAACCCACTGGAGGGTCAGATATGGGTTAATTCTGACTCAATGATACATAACAACTACATTTAGAGGATGGAGTTGTGTAGGATAGAGTTATACACTCCTTTTTTGATGGAAATTTCTCTATAATGTGTCTCTCTGTGTATACGTTATGGCTCTTAATCCTGTGTACTGTTGTTGTTGTTGTTATGTGCCATGGGGTTCCCTGTGACTCATAGTAACCCTATGCGACTCATAGCCCTAAACCCTGTTTTATCCTGTGCCAATCTTACTATCTCTGACACACCTACTACCTCCATAACTTCAGTCACTGAATCAATCCATCTCATTGCGGGTCTTCCTTTCTTGTACTGTCCCTCTACCCTTCCAAGTATGATGTATCTCTCTAAGGACTGGTCATGCCTTGCAACATGTCTTATGTATGTCAGACACAGCTTCAGAATCCTTACCTCCAAAAAGCAGACTGATCTCACCTTCTCTAGGACCAACCTATTTGTTCTCCTAGCAGTTCATAGTATATTCAATACTCTTCTCCAGTACCACAGCTCAAAGACATTAATGCTCTTTCTATCATACCTAGTCATTTTCCAGCTTTCTGATGCACAGCAATTAATTGAGAAGACTATGACCTGGATCAGGTGCACCTTAGCCTCCAGAACGACATTGTTACTCTTCAGTACTCTGCAGAGGTCACTGATAGAAAATTTCCCAAATGCAATTAATCTTTTCATTTCCTGGCTGCTGGAGCCAAGCTAACTAAAGCTGTTAACAATCTCAGTTCCTTCACCATCTATCATGATGCTGCCAATATTTCTATGTGTCTCTCAACTAGATTTGTTTTCTTTTTAAAGTATTCCCTCATATCTAGAAAATAAGTGGCTTTCAAGAAGTGTTTTTTGATTGTATTTATTCAATGGAATTACTACTGTCTGGTTTATGATATTAGAGAAAACCATTTAATCAAGATTATATTGTCTCACAATAAAAACATTCTGAATAATTCATTTCATTCTTTTTATACACCAAACAGAACATATTAAAAATAAGCAGTTTTCTTTTCTCTCTTTTTGGTAAGGGAGTTCATAAGTGTAAGTGAAATAGTGTTCTAAAGAAACTTTGACAGCAAAGGAAGGTAACAAGCTATAATCCCCAAAGCACTCGGTTCAAATCCACTAGTTGCTCCACAGGAGAAATATAGATAATCTTTCTTGTTCCTCTGAAAACCCACTGGAAAGTCAGCTGTGGGATGGTCCTGACTTGATGGTACATGACAAGAAAATAGAATTACAAATGTGCTTAAAAGAACATTTAGAACAGTGTTCTGGTGGCATAGTTTATAGAGTGTTGTGCTGTTAATCCTAAAGTGGCCCCTCTCTGGTTATTCAAATCCACTATAGACTAAAAAGAAGAAAGATGGGAAATGTCCTGTATATTTCTTCAAAATCATAAAGAAAAAATTACTATATGATCCTAGATATACTCCCAAGATAAATTAAAACATATAGAAAAAATATGCATGACTATTAACAACACCTAAAAAGTAAAAATAACTCAATTTGTGTCAACAGATAAATGGACAAACAATGTGAAAATGAAAACAGAGACATGTATTGAAATACTGCTTGACAATAAAAATGGTACAACACGAATAAACTTCTAAAGTATAATGCTAGGTAACTGAAGTCACACACAAAATATCCCATAATGTATTCCATTTATATTGAAAATCCAGCATTGGTAACTCTATAGAGAAAGGCAGTTGTTTTACAGGAAAAGAGTATAGGCAATGAGGACTAACTAATAATGGGTATAAGGTTTCATTTTGAGGTGATGAATATTTTCTATATTTATATTATAGTGATGGTTGCAGGACTCTGCAAGCCATGCAATTTTATTTATTATGTATTAATCACATTTTAACAAAGCCATTAAAATTAAGAAAACAGAACATGCCATGGTTTTTATCATACTGTGCTACTGAGTTTTCTCATCATTTATTAGATAGTGCTTTTAAATGGTAAAGGTTTGCACTTCTTTAAGGCAAGATATAGTAAAGATCTGATGAAATATTGTAATGTGATTGATCAATTGGCATTGATCAGTTGTAGTTGATATTACAAAAAACACACGAATGATTGAATGAAGGCCTATTTAAAAGAAAGTGTCATTTACATAGATGTTGAATACTTACTGTCCATGTGACTTGAACCGTAGTGGGGGTCAATACAACTGGGGTATGAAGACGGACACTGACATCTCCCAGTTCTTTCTGTACTTGTCTATGGTCCACTCCTTGTGCTGGTGGGCTGATATCTGCAGGTAGATAATCATTCCAATTCTTAAAAGTTCATAGAAAAGTTCCAATTTATTACACCATTGAACATATTTAGAAGGGGAAAAATGTTAAAAATCCTAGACTTCTGGCAGAAATTATGAATTATTTTATATTATATAATATTAACATTATAGATATAAATATAGAATATGTGTGTGTGTGTGTATGTGTGCATGCTTGTCACAATGCTAGGGTATATTGTAAAAGATATTTCTCTTCACTAAAAATATTTACAAGAATGAACTCTTGTGAATATTTTTTTACCTCTCACCCCTATTTAAATACACATAAATTGTTAAGAAAGATCTTTTGAATATAAACATAATTTCCTTAATAAAGAATAAAGTATGTGCATCATTTCTATTTGTATACAAAACCAAGTCATAACAATGCCTGGAATCTGACTTTTAGAGTCCTTGTTGGACAGAGTAGAACTGCCATCTAGCATTTCCAAGAATGTAAGTCTATACAGCATGACAGTGCCTCATTTTTTCTTTCTCCTCATAATGTGACTAGTAGGTTTGAACCACAGATCTTTGGGTTATTAAGCAAATTCATTAATAAATAAGCAGAACATCTCTGTTTTTGTTTGGTTTGAAATATGTTAGTAGTTTTCTCTTTTGAAAAATTTTCTTGTGTAGGAAGTGGGGACACATCTGAAATTTGCTCTTTAGCTATCTGTTCTCTCTTTTGTCTGACTAGTAGATACGGTTTTCTTTCTCCTTTATCTGCTTCAGCCAGGGAGTATGGAATAGAAAGTAATTTTTGGGGACTGAATTATGTTTTCAATGCTAAGCAAAATAGAGGAGATAAAGGGGAAAGTCCCATAATCTCCATAAAATATGTTTAATGAAAAATTTAAAATACTAAAAAATATACACAAGTAATAAATTCTGAGCTTCACTTAAGTTTCTGACAGGAAATAATACAGCTGTTTTGAGGCAAGAGAAAATGAAAAAGGGAGAAAAATAGAAACATTAAATATTACTCTCTTACTTCAGGTGATGTTTATAATCAGTACATCCATTATAGATAGCCAAGTTAATAAAATTTTTAATAAACATTTTAATAAACAATTTCACACATATTCAGATCATCTTCTCTAATTAGTGTATGCTAGTTGATTTTTTTCCCCCCTGCAAACTGCTTGATTTTAGGAATGTAGTCCAACTCAAAATTATTTCTTTTTCTAATCTTATTCTCTCTAATCAGGAAGCAATCGTGTAAAAGCATACTTAAGTATGTATTTCATAGCTTTTTTTATACATTTTTTAAATTTTATTTTATTATTTTTGTGTGCGTGTACCGTCAAATCAGATCTGACTGGTACAGGAGGAGATTGCCCCTCCTTCCCCGGCAGAGCATCTGGTGGATTCGAACCGTGCACCTCTGGGATTGTAGTTGCAGCTTCTTGCCACTAGGCCACCAGAGCTCCCCATATTTCATAGCTTTAATTGCATGTGCTGACTTAGAGGAGGACATAGACAAGGGAAAGTTACAATTCGTTGCTTTTTCTTCAATTGAAATCTTGAACAAAAACAACAAACAGCTAGCTCTACTAAGTTTTATTTGAATTAATAAAAAGAATAAAAGTTAATGCTAATTAAATTATATTCATTTGCTACCTTACTGTGAAAAAAGAGAGATTTTCAGATTCTGTGTGTATTACCATTGGTAAACAAAAGCTCACAAAGAAAAATGCTCTTTGATAAGAGGTGTTTTGTGGAATGCAAAGCTGCTGACAATATCGTGTCAAAAAATGATGCTGACATTCAGACACAAAACATGAGTTTTCCTATTAAAAATCTGTTAAAAGAACATAACTCTTATGTTCTATAGAGTCTCTCAACTGGAACAAGCCAGAGCACAAACAACTTTTCATTAATCTTTTCTGACCCTTTCACTGAGAAGTTATTTTATGAGTCAAGATTTAGTGACTGGCATAGTTATTGAATGATCATGAATGCCTGCCGGATTTAATCACCCCCGGAGCCTTCTCATTCTGTTATCTCCCCACTGTGCAGTGCAGCTATGCACAAAGCCACAACATTCTAGTCACACAGACGGGGCCGACCTGGGCCCTGTGATTTCTTGACTTAGAGTTATAAGTCTCTTTCATTTTAAGACCAATAATTTAATTTACTCATTAAATTCAGAAACACCAAAAAGCAATCAGATCCCGGTAAGGTAAAAGATAACCAGTTTCAGGTCTTCAAGTTTCTTGTTGTGCTTTTTTCTTTCTTCTTAGACAGGTTCTTTACCTACAGGCCCTTTATCATCTTGGAAAATTAATCACATTACTGCTCTGAGAACAATAGCAAAGTGGCAGTCCCTCCTCCCTTGACTGTCATCATGTCAGCAATGTTACAAAGTCACGTGGTAACTTTATTTCACTTGATTCCTTTAAGACACCCTTCTCTGTTATAATAGCATGCTAGTTACTATTACTGAAATACATTGTAATTATAATAATATTTTATGGCTGTGTGGTGCTTTTCATGGCATAAAAATACCACTTTGAATAATATCTGATGTAAAGCCTTTAACAAATAAAAAATAATTAACCCTTTCTCAAGAATCCTGTGGGAAGGAGAGAGAAATAAGTACTAAAGTTACCATTTCTATTTTATTAATTCCCTTTGCCACTTAAGGAAAGAAAACCTTAATATACCATAATAAGTTAATCCCTGGACTCCAGTGTCTTTTCAACTTGAAGAGACAGGACACTCAAGATTAGATGAGGACATCTTCTCTTCTGATCATTTTATTTAATATTCCAAATTTTTTAAAAAAAATAATGAAAACAACAACATGCCTCAGGGGAAAAAGTGATGAATTGTTTTTAGAAATAAATTGCCTCCTTTAAAGTTGTAACTTCATAAAATGCACTGTAATCATGGATATCCAACTTGTGCATCAGCACTACCCAGGAGGCACGTTAAAACAACTGCAGGACCCATTTCTGGGTGGCTCTTGGGGACTAACATCTGCGTTTCCACCAGGTAACTTTGAGGCTGCTTGCACTCAAGGGAGTTACACTTTGAAAACTAGTAAACTGTGAGAATTAACTTCTTGAACAATAGGAAGTAATTTTTATCCTGGCATCTGCACATTTTAGTTATTATAGATCGCTTTTGTTATTAGGGAGTACTGGTAGCCTAGGCCAGGGGAAGCTGTACTGTTCTCTCAAAGGATGTGCCTCTCTGGAGTTTTAGTCTAATAGCAGCTCCACAGGAGGAAGAAAGATGGGAAATTTCTTCAAGTGAGAACTGTAGCCCATGAATTCCACTGGAAGGTCAGCTATGACATAGTACTGAATCCCTGACGATGAGTTAGAAGGTTTGGTTTTGTTTCTTTGTTTTGTTTTTGTTTATTCTTTGTTATCGTCCAATTAATTTCAAAGAAATAGAAAAAGGCTATTTTCCTTTGTATTATAATATAGTAAAGGTATAACTTAGTGGGTTAACTGTTGCTATAATAAAACCTATAGGTGAACTCTAGGGGCATAATGTGTAGAGACTTACTGCTAACTCAAAGGTCATGCCTTTCTAGTGGATCCATCCACTAGCAGCTCAGCTGGCAAAAGATGGAAAATCTATGCAATTTACATGAAGCTCTTGTAGCCTACTGGTAATGAGCTCAGGTGCCAAAGTGAAGGTATAGCATTTGAATCCACCAACCACTCTGTGAGAGAACGATGGGCAATCTCCTCCTGTGCAATTCACTGCCTCTGAAAACCTGACATGGGAGAACTATGGATCTGGCTGACTCCATGGAACACAACTATAACAACAATGCCTTTTATAGCTTCAAAAACTCAATGGAGGATCAGTTACTAGTCAGATGCTATGACAATGAATGAATGAGTGAATGAATGAGTGGTAATAAACTTTATTTTGTTTTGTTATGTGTTGTAAAGTCAGAAGAGCATCATAGCTGACCTTACTTTCATGGGAGGTGACTGTCCATCTTCCTCCTGTGTAGGAACAGGTGGATTCAAATCGCCTGCATTAGGGTTGACAGCACAGTTCTTTACCACTAGGCTACCAGAATTCCCTAATAAATGCTAAGTAAACCCATTTAGTTTGTTGTAGTTTTTGCTTGTTTGTTTCCCTAAATAGACCCAGAAAGGGGCACAATTCACCAAGATGCACAGCGAGCTTCCTCTCTTCACCTGACTAAAGTCAACTGAACAATTATTTATAAAAACCAGTTCAGGCATATTTGCATTTCCTCTGGAAATCCTCTTAAAGATCTGTTTTATTCTAGACTCCAGTATGTGCATGTTGTTGTTGTTATTGTTATGTGCCATCGAGTATGCGCATAGCTACTGAAATTACCTTGTGTGCGCACAGGATCGGACATTGGGCTGGGGTCACTAAGACCTTGCGGGTTGATAGCTCTGACCATGAATAAGTAGATTGTGTTAGGCCTCAGTCCTCTGACAGTGTAGAGGGTGCTCTTCACATGGTTTGCCACCGTCTGCCAGCTATTGCTCACCGATTGGCTGAAAAGGAAACAGCAATCTCATTTAAAATAACAGTTGCAAAGGTATGGGAAATGGAGTTGCATATCTATGACAAAGGTTGATGGCTGAAAATCACACACACACTCCCACCTCCATTTTAAGAAGTCAGCCCAGTTAATGAAACATTTGGATGACTTCAGTCAATTCAACAACAAAGCCGAGCTCACCTAACAAAGTGCCATGCACAATAAAATTAAAATCAGCCCAGGAGATATGACAGCCTTTCACTAATGTAGAGCAGCCCCTAAATGAACACCTATAAAAGGAACAGAGGCCAGATCACAACATCAAGTTGATACAATAAATATGGCCCTCCTAAATGTATACATATATACCTTGAAAAGAATTAACCTGTAGAAAGAATAAATGGACTATAGAGTAAATTATGCCAATACATTTTCCTGTTACAAGGTGTGTTTTCTTTTGCATCAATTCCACATGCAACATTATAATAGAGCCTTCTAAAACTACATATCTGTAAAAGAAAAAAGGAAGCATGTAATGAATATATTCTCTTGGTCACATTTTTAAATAAAATTTCACATAATACAGTATTGGGATTTCTCATCTCAGAATGGGAAAATAATACTCTCGCTTGTATGTGGGGATCACTTTCCAGCCAGTCCCAGACCGAGCACCACTTTATAGCACCTTCTCTGAGGTCGGATGCTACTTTTGTTCAAAATGAGGAGAAAATGTTATTTCCATGGCTGTCTGTTTACTTTTCAGGAGTCCTTCACCATCAAGGCGTGAAAATGATAGAAAAATGCTATGTGAAATCTGAAAACTGTATCTATCATCACATAAGCACAGCTTAAGGAAGCCTAAAATGAAAGTGATCATGTTCTAATGTACTAAAAACAAGGATAGTGGTTATGATCTTTAAAACATCAGAAACACATTATTATTCAACATTACATTTTCTTTTTTTAGCCATTCATATTTTTAAAATCTGCATAAAACAATAACGCTATAACAGCACTTACTTCTAATAACATGTGGAAACATACTTTCCTTACAACCACCAAAAACACATGGAATCAATTTCTTATTTGTGGTTTTTAATTTTCTCTCACACACACTAACAGATGCTTTCAAATCTATACCATTTTAAAAAGTCCAACAAACCACCGAGATTATTTTAAGTTCTGCTCTAATTAGTAAGAATAAAGATTCCAGAGTTCTATGCCTCCATAAACTTTGCATAACTTAAAAAGCACGTGTGCCTAATGAAATTATATTTTTTCTTAGTTCCAATTTAAAAATTCTCATCCTACATCTCTACAAGTGGCCAGAGTCAAGAAAGAAGTCAAGTGATCATGCAAAGAAAGTTTCATATAGCCCTTGACATGGATAATTAAATCATGAATGTAGAAAACAGCAGAATTTGCTGTTTAATAAAGTCAGATAAAAAGATTAACTCCAAAAACAAATTGATTGAGCATATCCATGAAATTAAAAGCAAGAATGTTCATGTGAGATTTTAGCATTTAGGAGTTACAGCAAAGAATAACTGGCCCATACCTGAACGCCTCAATGATATAAGAGCTTGCTGGAAGGGCACCAGGGGTACCTGGTTGCCAGGACAATGTGACGCTGCTCTTAGACACATCAGTGACCTGTGGTTTGGATGGTGGTCCTGGCAAGTCCTTCAAGTCATAATTTTTACTGATTGTTGCTCCAGATTCTAGGGCACAAGCAGAAAAGAATATTGATACCTTAATTCTTGATTATATAAGAAGAAAGTACTGCTTACAAAAAAAATTTAAATAGTCAAAGGAGTTGATATAATTAAGCTTCATTTTGAGCCAGAAATATTTTAAAAGAAATTTGACTCTCTTGTACCTTAACAAAAACTAGCTTAACTTTCACACTTGATCATTAGAAGTACTGGCACTTTAGATAGAAAATAAAATAGTAAGGTTATCAAAGACACTTTTCTCAAATTGCACATATGCGAAGCTATTTGTCAAGTGGTACAAGGATTCAAAAGTGGCATAGAACTTAGATCTTATAGTCGATGAAGTAAAAATACTGATCTGATCACTACTGAATTTGATATTTTATAATAAGCTAACTGAGAATGAGCTCAGGGTTGCTGCTGTTGAGATACGTCACAAAAAACTCACCGGTCACATCCAGTACAGCACTCCAAGAGGTCTCCCCACTTGAGCTTGTGGCCACACAAGTGTATGTGCCAGTATCAGAAATCTACGTACAGGGCATGGAAAGAACAAAATTATATTGCTTTAACCACTCTGTGGAAAAATAACTTGATCTAACACAGACAATATTTAATTTATTAGAATATGAAATATTGTTAGATTCAATCTTCTATATGCAGAAAATATTAAAATAAATTAAAATATAAATGAATTTATTACAGATATGAAAAAAGCTATTTTAAATATTTATAATTTTACAACTAGAAACTAAAAACCTACGAATTAGATACTAGTAAGCCTCATTTCTTTCCCTCTTGCCCCTATAGTAATTCACAATTCTAACTCCATTTTATGGTAGGGTTTCATCATATTTGTGTGATTAAGGATATTTTAGGACAGCATTTTTTCAGCATACCATAAACTAAATACAAAATAGGAACTGTAAGGTGTGCTTTTGCTCTATGTCAATGAGCAAAACTAACCAGAAAGAAATAAGCAATCAGGCCCTTCATTTCATTTAAAATATATGGAGAATGTAAAAAGGAAGGTTTTTTAAAAAAAGAAATCTCTCTTTAAAGAGATTGGTACTTACTTCTTAAAATGTGAGAGTGAATGAAACAAAATTCCATCATTAAAAGCTAAATGAACATTGTTTATGGAAACATTACACTACATAAATGAAAGAGATAATCTAATACATCTAATACATGACTTTTAAAGATATAATTAATAACTGAATTTCATTGCTCATGTAAACTTATTGGGAGCTCTGGAGCTGTATATTTGTTATCCAATAAGGAACAGAAAAATATTTTAGAAAGAGTTGACGGTGCAACCAGGAGTTTTCTTCCACTAGTGACAAAGGCAAAAAACTCAGTTAGCATTCTTTGATGAAAGATGGTACTCAAACAATCCTCATTGTGGTTGAGTCCTATGTGTTAACAGTGCACAAACACATTTACATTAGCTTGAGAGTAAAGAGAAAGTAAGACAAAAGGAAAAACTGATGACCAAATTGAATATTACAAGTCACAAGATGAAGCATTTAAATTATGTGATGAACATGAGCCTAGTCCTTGTTGAAAGAGGGAAGTTCATGATATATTATATCTGCTGGGTTTAAAATGTAACTATTGATGACTGCAGCTTCCACAATTGATTCTCAGGTAAATCATTAGTGCATGGATGTTACTGCTACTGTACCACTTTAATTGATTTTAAATGGTATTATATATTTTAACTTAGCTTTAAAATTGCTTTGGCATGTCGTTCTTTACCATATTATCTCTGTACAATCGTCTTCTATTATACCGTGAAATGATGGGGCTAGCCATTGTAGGAAGAGTCATTCTTTCAAATGTGGCTGGCTGTGCGTGCATTACAGTCATTAGAAATCTTTGCATTTAAGAAGCATCACTCACAAACGAAACATAATGAGCTGAGGTTGGATTTTAATGGGATATTCATTTGAATATGGTCTGTGGAAGAGGAAACGGATTTGCATTTTATTATAGCTGTTGAACAAAAAACGTAGCACTTGTTATTACGTGCAAATGCTAAGAGTATGTAGGCATTGCTTCTTAACGGCTTCTCCTTGTCACTGTGTAGAGCTAGAAGTTTGGCATTAGCTGTGGTAGGTATATTTTAATGAGTGTAGGAATATTCTGCTTCTCAAAAGATAAGATTCAGTCCCCAATTAGCTGGACTAGGAGGATACAGCATTCATCGTATTTTTTTTCTTTTTTTTTTTTCGTCTTGTATTAAGTACCAAAAAAAGAAATAGTGAGACACAAAGGAATGTGACCTATAGAAATCCTCTCTTGACTGCACGAGTGAAATACTGTAAAGCACATTTTTATCTCCCTTTCAATACAGACATAGAAAAAAAAGAACAACAGTTTCATTTGGAGTTTATCAGAAGGGCTATCAAATGCCCAAATATCAGTGGGAAAAAAAACCCAAAACCCCAGCCCTCATTTCAGTATCACCCTTGTCATCACCATTCATTTTTATTCTCTAAACTTTTAATAATGCCTTTTTTGTGGTCACAAGTGTTTCACATATTTTCCATCCTTGTCCTTTTATTCTTAACCAAATGCTTTAAAAAGAGATTAATGTGCTGGCACACTCCATCACCTACTTTTCTCCTTGTGTAGTTTGGCTGCAGACAAGCTCCCAGGAGTCTGCATCTCAGAGACTACTCAGAAGCCTGTCAGTGAGCTCAAAGTTTGTTTGAGATCATCCAGCACCCACCTTTAATTGCTTCTTTCAAACACTACTGGGGAGCTTGACTATTCAAGCACACTCTTTAATTCTGTGGTACAGTGAAAATGCATTAACCTCCATGGCCCAAGTCAGCCTCGAGCCCACAGAGAGAGGTTAAAGTGTTTACGCAAGGAGACTTGGCATTAATTTTTTAATAACTTCCATTTTGTTCAAAGAAGGTTAACAATTAATTCATGATCAATGATAAGACTAAAAAAACCTGTATTCATTTATTTTTTTCCTTTTATTTGAAGTTGACAGCATTGTTTTAGTAATAACTAATGCCTGTGTATCAGATTAAATGCCTGCATGGATGTGTGTCTGTATACACATACAATCATATGACACATAAAAATAGAGAGTCTTCCTTCTGGTAGATTTAGCCATATAATGCAACAAAACATATACAGCAAAAAGATATTATTTCCCTCTCCTAGTTTACAAATGGGGAAAAAATAACTCAATTGTTTTCTGGGGTTTTGTTTTTATCCCCTTTGGTTCACAATTTCTATTTGTGTATCACATTTTTCTAATTGCTTTATCTCACAATAATTTCCCATAGAAGGGGAAGAGCCTCTAAGAGGTGGATTGATTCAGTGAATGGAGTAATCGGGATGGGTGTGTCAGAGACAGTGCGATTGGCACAGGACAGAACAGAGTTTAGGGCTGTTGTATATAGGGTTGCTATGACTCGCAAGTGACACGACGGCACATAACAACATTAACAACAACAACAACTATTTCATTATATTCACTGTATTAGTTTGTCATGCATTTTAAGCACATTGTTACCATATCACAGTGTCCATCTTTAGAACAGAGCTTGGTATATGGGGTATGTGTGTAGGGAAAGTCCAACAGTTGAATGTATATGTGGCTGACAACTGTTTTCTCAACAAGCCCTTCATGATAGTCTCATCTAGTGCAGCATTCCCTCACCTTAAGTATGGCCATTATCTGTGACTTGCTCTTGACCAAGAGAATATGGGGGGGGAAAAAGAGTGATAGGATGATACTTTTGTCAATTAGTTATATAAGATTACAATATTTTTGTGGCAAAAGAATGCTCCTCCTTGCTGACTTTGAGGAGGAAAGTGGCTATTTTGGGACTATCCTAATGGTAAGAATCTGTGCTTCCATCCCAAAGGCTCAGAGTTTGAATTCACCAGCTGCTTCTCTGGAGAAAGATGGACAATCTTCTCCAATGTGATTAATTGCCTCTGAAAATGCACTGGTGGGTAAGCTATCAGTCGGTTCCAACTTCATGATACACAACAAATGGCAAAGAACTGAAGGGTATCTCTGGCAAACAGCTAAGGAAACACAGGTTAACAAGAACATTATTTGAGGGGAGGAAGATCTTTTACCACTCATCCCTCAGATAATATATCCTACACTGTTATGTGACTGTAGTCCTAGGTGACACAGAACGAGAGAGCAAACTTGGTCAACTCCAGGCACCAACCCTCAGATAATGTAAGACAAACAAAATATGCTATATTATATATATCTAAACGTTTGCTAAAATTGTTATGCAATGACATATAATTAATAGACTACTCAAAAATAGAAATTTTATTTTTAGTTTTTCTGGAAACAGGTCCAAAATTTATAATGTTGCCAGTAATATCACTCTTAATAAAAAGTCAACAATGGCGTGGTCTTGTTCATGGGGTTGAATATAAAACCTAAAAGAACTGAATCTGAAATGTAAGATTTCCCCTCAACTACTTAATTAAGGTACTATCCTTTCTCTCTCTCTCTTTTAAAAAAATATTATTTGGCCAAGCAAATTTATTTTTAGTTACCTATATGAACATTGTTGGGTGGTTATTTTTTGGGGTTTTTTTTATTTAATTTGTTCATAAAAGTACATCATAAGCTTTGCCAATTGCAAGATACCCCAAATAATACACTATTATTTACATTAAATGTTTAAATTTCCAGTTTCGTTGATTGTACACACGTGGACTGAGATGGCATACAAGGTATTTAAAGGTGGGCACTAATTTGAGTAAAAAGGTCTCTCATCATTCCTCTAAGTTAATAATTTGTAAAATAAGAAATAATACATCCTATAATAATACATAAGGCAATTATACTAGGTTATAAGAAAGACTTAACTCATTGAATAGATGTTCCCTAGGGCAATACTTTTACAGAGATGAAAACCCAAATACAAGTTCAAACATCACTTACCCGTAAATTCTTAATTTGCAGTGTTCCTTGCTCTTGTATTGTTGCTCTTGGATCTCTACCCAGAAAAGTAAATCCTTCCTTTAACCAGCTAATTACAGGAGGAGGATCACCAGTTGCCTTACATTTCAGTAATGCTGTACCATCTACCGCTAGCGTTTGGTTTGCTGGACCTTGTAGAATTATAGGTGGAGGTCTATCTGTCAAAACTAAAGGAATTAAGATATTGTAACTTTTATGAAATCCAATACTCTTGATTCCTTGATACTGAAACAAATTTCCTAAATCCATGCTTTCTACTTACTTATACCAGACTCTGCATTCTCTTTATACATACATATATATATCCATATTATTTTAGCTACATAAAAGGTTAGGAGGATAAGTCCATTCAGAGGATCATCAGAAGAAACATGCCAACTGCTTCTCAAACAGCTGCCACCGAAGTCCTGTGGAATATAATTTTACTCTAACACACATAGTGTTGAAATAAGTTGGTATTGACTTCATGATAACTGGTCTTCATAAATATATAAAATTTTAAAATAGAAAACCTTTATAAAACAAAGGGAAACCCCCCCACCTTTGCTTGTTTATTGCTTAAGAACAAAAATTAGAATAGTTTATAGCACTGATTTTCTTTAAATTTTTTTTCATTTTAGAGGTAAATAAAATAAACTTAAGAGAATATGGAAGAACAATAATAACTACATCAAATAATAATTGATATCTGACAATATCTGTGCAAATAGAATTAAAACTGAAATTGTTATGGATTTTATTTTATATAAGATTCAAAAAAAGGAAAGAAACTGATTATAAATAAGTATTCGGATAAATTAAAACAGACTTAAAAGATCAGGGTAGCCATATTTCTTGAATTTAAAATAGTTGCTTTTTTGTTTCAAATTAAACACCATATAGAATTCTAGTAATTTCATAGAACTCTCCCTATTATTTTCTTATCCTAAGGTAATTTGCTAAACCAAAGGATTTCCAATTTGTTCATTCCTTCCCTTCTCCCTTCCTTCTCTTCGTCCTTTCTTATAAACTGTACATAACTAGCTCATCATCTTTTAAATGAATATGATCAATGAAGCAATTGAAAATCTCCTGGCGAGTGGAATTTTCAGTTTCAAGGATGCTATAGGTGAAAGTCAACCACAGGTTTCCATGACACTAAGGTCAGAGGTTAAATGAACATTTAGGTTTTCCAGTGATCTGTGAATAACTCCATGGTTGTACTAAGTATGCATTATAAATCCTCAATAAACTATTCATATAAGATCATGGTGTGACATTTATTGTCATCATAAGATAGGAATGTATTCTTTCTACTTCAGATTCTATTGGTTCAACTTCTAGGCTCTCATTACAATTTCCTAATAATCTGAGAGGGGAAAAAATAGAGAATAAAGTAAAAGAAAATGCATAAATAGGACCAATTAATGCCATTTTTTATAGTAATGTTATAAAACATTTAAGCATCTTAGCTCAATCAGTAATCAGGAAATTTGCCATACAGCACAGCACAGCACCTTTTCTCACCCTTTAAAATTTTATCATATGTGAATATCTGATTTATATATATAATATATATATATTATATATAATATATATATTGTATATATTATATATATAATATATTTAAAGTCCAAGTGAAAAAAATAGTAACAAGAGAATCACTGCTATAGATGGAAAAAGCAGTCACATATTTTCTCTGAACACAATGTTATGTTATCATTGGCTACTGGAATTTCAATAGACTCTAAATTGTCATGTATCATATAAAAATATGTTAAAAATGAAAATGATGGCTCACATACCATTAACCAGTCTGGAAAAAAAGAAGCTAAAGTCATTAAATGATTTGGCAAATTAATATTTAGAGCTCTGCATACATAAACATACATACACACACACACATACATGCATCATAGATATATTAGAGAGACAGAAAAATCTTGAAGTTAGACTTCTTCGCTGCCAAAATCAATAACTTCTACAACCTCTATTTAATGGTGACTCCAAAAGGATCTTGACTTTGTAATTGCTTATTTAAGTAAAAATCAATGCAGGAATTAATGTCCAAGACAGTTAAAACATATAAAGCCATCTCAGTCATCAAAAGATTTACACTTTCTCACCACTATTGAAATTTTTACCCCTTCTAAGAGTATACAATTATTAACATAAGAGCGTGAAAACAAATTCACTTTTTCAAGATATCAGACATAATCTGTATATCTACCATGTCATAATTTCACAAACATCAGTCACAACAACTGATTTCTCTAATGTATATTTTATTTTTTACAAATATAATTTCCCTTTCTATAAACAATTATTCGTTTAGAAACACTTCCAAAATCTATCTTCTGTAAGCGATTATGACAAATGGCATTATAGTAGATATTTTAGTCACTATGTTAGGATGCTTTACAATGTAGAATAATATAGAATGAAAGTTATGACTTGACTAAATATTTTCTCTTTCAAGTACATGTATCTAAATATTTTTGCCAATAATGGAATGCAGAAGGACTTTAAAAGATTGACAATCATGTTCATTCTTTTAAAAAAATACAGAGGGACAAAATTATCAAAAACCTTGTCTAGCCAAGGGAAGAATTTCTCATCACTGTTACCCTTGAACTTGACTTCTCCATTGAGCTCTGTAGTAGTAAATCTCTTCAGCATCAGCAGGTGCGGCCATTAACAACTCAATGTCCTCACAGCCAATGTTTGTCTGTTCTATTTATTTCCATTCCTGACATGACATTGAATTAGATAAAACCATGGACATATATTAAAAAATATTGCCCTTCTATTAATTTTAAATGACCTTTTAATCTCCATGTAAATTTGAATTGCATAAAAGTGCATCAAATTGTCACCAGTAGAAAAGAGTAGTTCTTCTGTCAGTAGCCAACATTAGGAAGAAAACAAAGCAAAAAATTCACAAACATGAGTACCAGAAGTTATTCTTGATTCCTAAGTTTGCCTTGCTATTAATTTGTGAGTGTGTATAAAATCAAATTATGCATATTTTTCTATTTCTTTTAAATAATACATTATCAGATATTTAAGGATAAAATTAATTGTGCTTTGATGTTCTTCTTTGGGAAAAGAAGTAGCATTCTATTAGGAAGAATTAGAATCCAGTCAAAAGGCAATTTTATAACCAACATGGAAAATACCATTAACTTAAATGAATTAATAAATCTAAAAAATTCACACTGTTAATGTTTATGCAAAAATATAATTATTCTCTCCAGAAGATGAGTTTAATTAAAGTAATAGGAATAATAAGTATAATACCGCACCATCAGTGACCTCCAGTTGAGCTTTTGCGAGGATGCTCCCTGCCACCGTCAGGGCCTGGCAGATGTAGTAACCTGCATCTGATCTCTGAATGTTGGTGATTGTGAGATCTCCAGTTGGTGACACGGAGCACCTACTGTTGGGCTGCTGGGGTTGGTTTGGGAAAAGCAGGTTCTGTGAAAGCAAGCATAGTATCATTGCTATTTTATTCCTACTCAGTAGGGGAAATTGTAACAGCTATTGAAATAATAGAAATATTGTTGAACAAAGGAAAAAGATATTTTTTTAAAAAATATATGACATTGACACAGAAAGAAAAGCTAAGAAATAGAATGTAGAGTAGATAGAATAAAATCCTTAAAACAGAAAGGGGTAAGATAGAAGACTAATGGAAATGTGAATTTTAAGGAGAAAGAAGGGGAAATACAAATATTTAAGTGTTATAAAATAAGATTTATGTGGATGGAAATGAAAAAAAACACACACACACTTCAATTTGCTCTGTAAGCTTTCACTCAAATTACAAATAAGAAATAAATCAAAACTGAGATATTAAAATTTGTATATGCTAGGCAGTGAACTCCACTGAGAAACTGTCTAAATTAGGAAAAAATAATCCTAAGGAATAAGCATAAACTAAGAGAAGAAACAATTATCTACAATTTTAAAAAGCTTTTAATGTTAATATCTTTATCTATATAAATTATACTTTTTCCTTTTGATAGGTCCTCAATATTTTTGGAACTTGGTGTACTCTCTGCGACATGGGGACTTATGATCATTATCATAACTGACTCAAATCACAAGACAATGTGAGGACCAGGATTGTGAAATGAACTATGTATGTACTTTATAAGTGAAGTGTTAGCTTACAAGTTGGCTTTTCTAACCATTACATTAGTTCCCTCAGGTCTCTAGTTACCTTAACTGTAGACACATGGTCTTGCAAATCATCAACAGCTCTGGGACAAGGATAAAAGAGAGAAAGTGCTTTCTATATTAGGCAGTAAGACTTGAGAGAGACCAGAACAAGACCCTGGTGAGAGTGAAACCCTAGTGGCCAGACCCTGGTGATTGTGGTGGAGACACTGTGGATTTGCTGTGGAGAAATTATAGCAAGGTGTAACCAGAGGAGTCCCAAAATAAAGGCCACAGTTAAAGGTTTTGCTGTGCTTGCTGGATGATAGAAAGAAAAGCTGACTGATAGCTGCTTTGAGGCAAACTGTGCTGGATGACTGCAGAGGCTTCTTGAATTTGTGTTCACGAATGGAAACCAGTACTTTTACCTATTAAGGAATTGTGTTTTGCTATTAATCTGGTTTGAGACTACTGGACTAAACCTGGATTTGCATTGTGAGATATTCTTTGCCTCTCCCACTCCCCAAACTTTTTTCCCTAATAAACACCACTCTTTGTATCAAAACTGTGGGTAAAGTCTGTGAGTCAACAAATATCAAACCCCATGATTGGTGGACATGGGTTAAGGAGCATGGGAGGGACATAAAGTCTAGCAGTTGTTTGTTTGCTGCTACGTATATTATTGATGGGGATAATTCCCCTTTTTGAAGCAGGTCATCTGCATGTCATTGCATCTGCTCCTTTCACAATAAAGTACAAAGTCTTAAATCATAACAAAGCTAATTTTTTTTTATCACTTAAAATAGTTAACGGGTCAAGTGAATTTCACCTAAAGATGTTCAAAAGCCTGTGAATGGGCTGATGCAGAAATTTGAATCATTTTTTATTGCTATCAGCTTTAAATAAGTCACAAAATCTTTGGAAGGTCTTATTAACAATGTTTTAGTCTAAGCAAGATTAAATACATTATTGAAAGAAAATAAAAGTAGTAGAATGCAGACTGTAAAAATATACATGCTAGGTTTAAAGAATTCTGTGACATAATTTTAAAAATTATTTTACTATATCTCAGTAAATATATACAGCCTAACTATAAATCTTTAAAAGTTCTCAGATAAGAGCAGCAATGTTAACCTAGACGACCTATGCATGTTGCTTTACTCTTGTTCAATTGGGATAAACATTTGGGCATAATAAATCATATTGAAATATGCTTACAAGTTGGATTATAAATAAAGACATATCAATTTTTATGTTGTATTTACTTACAAAAAAAGAACATTACAACCCTCTGGGATCTGTTTCTCAATATAGTAATTAATTTTCCAGGTTTGTAATTATACAGTTTCAATACGTTACAATCAGGAGGTAATAACATTCAATTAAAGGCACAAGACACATTTTCACCTTAAAATGTTTTTACCCTTGAAGTAATACCAATGGAAGAGGATAAAATAGGGTATTAACACTTTTCAATTACGCTAAATGACTTTAATCCTGCAAATGATGTCCTACTTTAATTAGAAGCTCTTCTCTTTATTGCAACATGATGGATGTCCACTTTATTAGATTCAAGTGTGACACTATAAGCCCACTTTACATAAACATTACCATGTTATTAAACCTCTTCTTTTAAAAGTGATGTTTTCTAGCAACTGCACTCTAATAAAAATTTGTGTTACAGCATAATGCTAGACATTTCCACACATATGAAGCAAAATCTGAGGACAAAGCTAATTCTCCCGTTGAATCCAAATATATTACTGAAATAAACCATCTACAGGAGAAGAGTCTAAATTTTAGAGCCACTTGAAAATGATACAATAACTCAAAGTATGCACTTTCCTACAATTAGCTATTAGAATACTAATTTACATAGCACTAATACATCAGATGGGCTTAATTCACTCTGGGATCTCTTTCTCTATAAGGTAATATCAGTCCACCTTCTAAATGATTCGTTGACATGGAAAATGGCGTATGATTGAGGTTAACCCATCATCTTTATTCCTGGCTTGTGCGACGCAAGCATGAGAAAATGGATTACAAGCAAAACCCTGGAACTCTACAGAGCTCTTCTTGCCTTGAAGTGCCTAGGTATCCTATTAGTGCTAATTGGCATTATCAGCACATATTGAAGCATATGGACCATTAAGCTCAGGCTCTTAACTCTTTGTACTGATGGATAGTCATAGATCACTGTAAAAATTGGATATTGGAGTCAGTAAGACCAATTTATTTTTCCTAATATCCCAATTCATGATCTGAAAATTTAAAATTTGGTCAAGCATTGCTCTTTTATTCTCATTTTCTCTCTTTCACAGGAGGGAGAAAGATGTAAAATGAAGGAAAGGGGGAAAATACCTACGATTACAATCAAATCAAACTATCAGGCTGAAATTTTGGGTAACCTTTAAGATTGACATTTCTAGAATTCCATATCATTATGTCAAATAACCTGAAAATAATAATATTTAAAATAAGTTCTTAGACTGTTCACTGTTTCAAGGTATTTAAAAAGAAACATAGAGCACATTTAGAAATGATAATTGTATGTTACATCTTATATACAACATCTGATTATTTTAGAAGGTAACCTTTACATATAAAGATCCTACTGACCTACTAATGATGCCTAAAATATTCAGTAGTGTAGGCCTACAGGCTACTCTCATGAAGAAAACACTTGGTGATCACTTCCTGTAAATATCGTTATTGTTGTGTGCTGTCAAATAGAAACTGATTCATAGCTGATCTCCCAGTGGGTTTTCAGAGACAACAAAGAGCTTAGGTAGAGACTGCTCATCTTTCTCACACTGAACTGCTGGTGGATTTGAACTATGTACCTTTCAGTTGGCAGCCCAACTCCTTACCTACCAGGCCACCAGAGCTCCTTCTTTACACCTCAGAAAATGTTATGAAGCAGATTTGTTTGGTCTTAACAAGCTAGAATCAACTTGATAACAGTCTATTTGGTTTGATTAAAATTGTGTCTGTATAATTACAAGGCATATTTTTCACTCAACATGTAGATTTAAAGTGTAAGTTAGCAGTATAAACATTTCTTTATATTATTGTTTTGTTTGACCATAATTTATAATGCACTTTTATATGACTAATTTCTTTTAAATCATGAAATCTTTACTATTAAGAAAATGTAATTTTTTTGGTGACATTAAATTAACAGTATAAAGACTCTACAATTCGATGAACAATAAAGTATGGAAAAGATTTTGCATTTATTCCTCTTTTAGTATTTCAGTGAGTAAGACAGTTCATATTTTCTTTCATGTCATGTAACTTTAAAGTCTTTTTAGATTTAGAATGTTTATATCCCAAAGCTATGTTTAGGTGAAAAGGAATTAAATTAGCAGAAGTCTGTATCTATTGAATAACAAATTACACATACAACAACATCATCAACAAATCAGAGGTTAAAGGTCTAAAATAATTCTGATGTGACTTTAGGTAACTTCATTGGTTGATGAGATACTTTATTTCATCACCACCACCTGTAACACCTTCCAAACAGGGGATGTGTGAATCCAATAAAGAACATCAAGGAAACATGTTAAGTCCAATTCATCCATTTAGACTAAACTGTTTAAACTTCTAGCTTGGGTTGGAACAGAACTGTGTTGCACTCTAAGTAAAGGACAATGATTATGCCTTTCTAGACCAACATATGATTTTAAGTAAAAATTTCTAAATATAGATAAAAATATGCTATAAACTCTGGCAAAATTTTTAAATTTCTTGAGACTTGTCATAATGAATTCCATTATTCTACACAAATTTTTTCCCCCTGAACTTAGACAGAGAAAGAATGCGTGCTCAGGAATGGAATCGGTGGAGATACTGCTGAAACACTATGGATCTTTGTGGGTGGTTTTAGAGAGTCTAGAATCCTCTAGAATTCATTGGCCTCCTCTTTAGAAATAGAATAAATTCAAAACTGATAGCAAGAGCGGCTAGGCAAACTTTGAGGTTCATTGTTGTTGTTGTTCTTACATGCCGATGAGTCCAGTATGACTCACAGCTACCCCATGACCAAAGGTCTGAATCCAGTCCTGTCCTGCACCATCCTCACACTTCCTGACACACAAGAGCCCATTGCAGCAGTCACTATGTCAATCCACCTGCTTGAGGGACTTTCTCTTCTTCCCCAACCCTCCTCCCTTCCCAGCATCATGTCCTTCCTCAAGGAATAGCACCACAGAGAAATTTGGTGATCAGTGAAAATGATGGCACTCACCTGGCTGCCCTCTTTCTGCCAAAACACAGCCGGCTGCGGGTTCCCTTTTGTTTCACAGGGAAATGTCACCGTTCGACCTTGAGCAACAATCTGATCTCTTGGCCTAACCACAAACTGTGGTGGAGCTACAATTTAAAAGGAGAGAAAGTGTGTAAAAATCAATCCATGGCAAAGAAATATCAAAGAAAACTCTGGTCATAGGTAGACTGCTCGGTGTCAAGCAGACACTTTTTATTCATTTTCTAAAAATGTTTTTCAAAATACAGAAGACAAAGGAGGGGAATAAGCACCCTAAAAATGTGAGAAATGAAGTAAACATATTAGTAGACACATTTATGTATATTGTACCTCTGTGGTGCATTTACTTTCATAAGAAATATTTGTGGTGGTATTTTAACATTTTCAATGACAAGTATGGTTTCCTTTGTTCAGTTCTGCCTTTTAAAAAGAAAAAAGAATCACTCTCTTTTACAGTTATCTTCTGACACCTCTGACATCAATCCATTAATAGACACTGATGTATCTCATTGTCTTACAAAGACAGCGTACTAGGTGCTGGGATACCAATAGGCATCAAATATGATCCATATTCTCAAAGCACTTACATTGTGAAACTGAAAGGGTGAGAATGATATGCAAATATAATTAACAATATAAAGATCAATAAAGACTTTTTTTTACTCAATTTAAAACAATTCAATAAACATTTACTAGGCAATTTTCATGCTCCCCTTCTTGAAGTTAAAGGCACGGAGATGACAAACACCTGGCATTCAGTCCTTAAGGAGTCAGAAAGAAAAGCACAACATAAAATAAAACCTTTGCTCTAGGGTCAGATCGGACTTATGGCAGCTCCACTCGTGCCCAGGAGAATAACCCTTCCCCTGGGCTTTCAGAGCTGTGACCTTTCAGAACCAATTTTTCCATTCCTAGCTGAGTGCTAACCGCTTGTGTCACTCAGTGGCTCCTCAAGAGTTTGCGGTCTCATTGGAAAAAAAAAGAAAGAAAAACACCGAAACAAACCAACTCAGCAATAACAAAGTTAAATTAACAATTAATGAGTGTTGCGCTTCCCACATGCACTAGAAACCAAAAGAATGCTTCTCAAAGTTCAAACCCACTAGGTGCTCTGCAGGGGGAAGACGGCATCCTCCTCCCATTGGATTTACATCAGTGGAAATTCATCAACAGAAGGCAATCATGAGTCAGCACTAACTACGTGGCAGTGAGTTTTGTTATTGGGATGGTGGATTGTGCAATACTAGAGGCATACTCAGATGTCAGTAGCAGAGCACTCTGTTAAAGAATAGACAGTATATATGACAGGAAGCTCAGGATAGAGACATTCCCCTGTGCTGCAGCAGCTGTGAAGGGCTTGGCTTGTGAAATAGGCGTTTCCTGTGATTTGAGAAAAAAATAAAGACTGAGAAAATTACACATTCCTAGCAAGGAATTTACTGAGCAAAGTACAAGGGTCAAGAGCAACTCTAGTGGAGAGTGTATAATCTAGCCGCACTGGAAGGTCCAACTTGTATTAATATCATAGGTTAGGATTCTCAAGCTCTGTGTGACATACTTTGGACGTGTTGCAAGATGGGATCAGTCCTTGTAGAGGGATGGCATGCTTGCGAGGGCAGAGGGACAGTGCAGGAGAGGAAGACCCTCTATGAGAGGGATTGATTCAGTCACTGGGGTAATGGTGGAAGGTGTGTCGGAGACAATAAGATTGGCAAGGGATAAAGCAGGGTTTAAGGCTACTGTATGAGTCTCAGGCGAATTGACAGTACATAACAATAACAACATGGGAAATATGGGAAACCAAACTCACAACTTTAGTTGAACTCTTTTGAAGATAGACAGAAATAGATATAGATTTATAGATGATACAGATCTATAGGTGATATAGAGATAGAGATACATAATCTTTAACTGTGTATTAACTATGAAGGAGCCTTGGAAACCCAATGGAAGGTCAGCTAAGAGCCGATCACTGCTGAACAGCAAAGAATCAGTGATTGAAGGTAGTATGGATCGGAGTGTGAGTCAATAGAAAGCTGGTTTCACTCTCATTGCCAGCAGTTTGATTCCAGAAACACCACTGGGTTTCTAATGCTGTAAGTCTTACTGGAAAGAGACTACCCATCTTTCTGTTGGGGAGCCGCTGGTGGATTCAAACCACCAGAGATGAGTAGTAGTCTTTTGATTGACAGCTTACTATGGACCACCCCAGCAGAGAGAGTAAGCAGAGAACATCTAATAAGTTTGTGCAGGTGAAGGAACTTACAACTAGACATAGGTAATAGCAGTAGAAAGAGGGAGGAAAAGGAATGAAAGTAAAGATTCTAACAAAGTTCTAATTCACATTTGGGTTTACTGAACAGTAAAGGGGGGGGAACTCCATCCCTGACAAGTCAAACTGACCCATTTCTCCAGTGGGGATTCGGAAGCTCTAAATAGAAGGAAGAAGAGCGTAAATTTAAAAAAAAAAAAGACAAGCCAAAAAACCCCCCAAAACACCAAACACAACTTAATAAAGAAAAAAGTCAGTAGAAAGAATAACTGGAATTGATTGCCTGTTGAACAGAAAACATCAGGTTTACTCCATGATATTCAGGTCATCTGTTTCACTTTAGTTGCTTATATTAGAAAAACTAAGGCAAAGCCCCATAAAAGGACTTTAAAATCCACTCTAATTTTTAAGGCTTATTGTACCTGGCAGCTATTAAGACCTATTGTACCTGGCAGCTTTCCTGAAATTCAAACGGTAAAACACGCTAACAATAAGCACTGTCCAGTCAATGCCTCATACAGAGCTTTTTTCAGTCCTTCTGCAATATATATATACACAGACAGACACACACACAGGTCCAAGGATGGAGGATATTTAGGGTAACCCTAAACATACAACCAATCACTCATCCTTACAGGAAAAACAGCATTGAAAAAGAAGCAGCTGCACCCTCTTCCACTCCCCTGCCCAACCCCCACCCCAAAATTCACTGAGATTTGCAGTAACTTATTTTTTGGCGTTCTATTTATACTGCCTCCTAATTCAACACATAACCCAAGGACAGAAGGGATAAATCTTCTAGGAGAACTTTTCTCCTATAACTATAGATAACAGAAGACTCATTCTTACAGCAAAGGGAACCCAGATTTATGGATCTATTCAAACAGAGTGTGGTTTATGTTGCCTTACAGTTTTAGGAGATTACTTGCTTCTTACAATCTCCTTGGTATTTCTATATAATTCCACTGAATCAACAGATACATTGATTTTTTTTTACTTCATGGTTTCTAGTAGGAATGATAGGTTAAATCAATGCTGCAAAATTACCTCAGAGGAACAACAAAACTTTTAAAATACTTTTTAGCAGAACTACTGAGTAACAAAAACAAGTAAACAGAACACGCACACACACACACACAAAGACCCCAAACCAAAACCACTTAAAGTCATCATTTATATTATTCTAGAAAAAGCATACGGTTAAAAGAATTCATAAATAAACAGATCATAAAAAATTGAATCCACTGTGATCGAGTCCATTCTGATTCATAGTGGTTAACAGAACAGATACATATAACCTAAGGAGTGACAGGTAAGATCAAACAGCCAAATGCTTTAACTATGGTACATAAGTGTCCCTTCCAACTATATGACATTTTCTTTATTTGCAAATACATCAAAGAAAACATATACAGCACTAGTGGCATAGTTTTTTATTTATTGGGGTGCTAACCTAAAAGGTCAGTGATTCAAATCTAGGACTTCTATAGGAGAAAGACAGGCAGCCTCCCCCCTTAAGGACATAGAGCCTGAGTAACATGATGGGGGGGCAGTTGCTATGAGTCTGAACCTACTTAACCTCAGTTGTGGTTTAATAGACACTTAACTAAAGGAGAAATGCTGAGTTATTTATCTTGTGTCTCTATCAAAATTAAAGTTAAAAGTAAAAAAAGATTTATGTGAAAGTCTTTAATAATATTCCATATTCAAGGTATTAGTCAATTTGTACTATTTTGGGCAAGAAAGAATTTAACTTGGTTCATGTAACAAGTTAGTAAACATATGTTGTTGTTGTTGTTATGTGCCATCGAGTCGCCTGCGACTCATAGCGACCCTATGTACAACAGCCCTAAACTCCGCTCTGTCCTGTGCCAATCGCATCATCTCTGACACTCCCATCCCAATTTTCCCAGTCACTGAATCAATCCACCTCATAGAGGGCCTTCCTCTCCTACGCTATCCCTCCACCCTCCCAAGCATGATGTCTCTCTCTAAGGACCTGTCTCTCCTCACAACATGTCCAAAGTATGTTAGACAGAGCCTCAGAATCCTTGCCTCCAAGGAGCCACCCGGTTTAACCCTTTCCAGGACAAATCTGTTTGTTTTCCTAGCAGTCCATGGTATTCTCAATACTCTTCTCCAGCACCACAGCTCAAAGGCATCAATTCTCCTTTTATCCTCCTCGGTCATTGTCCAACTCTCTGATGCATAACAAGTGATTGCAAAAGCCATGGCCTGTATCAGATGTACCTTAGTCTCCAAAGAGACACCATTGCTCTTCAGTACTTTGGAGAGGTCCCTAACAGCAGACTTTCCCATGGCAATGCGCCTTTTAATTTCTTGGCTGCTGGTGCCAAGACTTGACTATGGAGTCAAGAAAACTAAAGCTGTGTACGATCTCAATCTCTTCACCATCCATCCTGATGCTGCCAATTGGTCCAGTGGTGAGAATCTTTGTCTTCTTGACATTGAGCCTCAATCCATATTGTAGGCTGCAGTCCTTGACACTCTGCAGCATGTGCTTCAGGTCCTCCTCAGTTTCAGCAAGCAGGGTTGTCTCATTTGCATAACGCAGATTGTTGATAAATCGTCCACCAATCTTGACCCCACATTTCTCCGCATAGAACCCAGCCTCCCGGATAATCTGTTCTGCATGTAGGTTGAAAAGGTATGGAGATAGGACGCATCCCTGGCGTACGTCCTTCCCAATTTTGAACCATGCAGTGTTCCCTTGCTCTGTTCTGACGACTGCCTCCTGGTTCAAGTATAAGTTTCGCATTAGAACGATCAAGTGTTCTGGGATTCCCATTCTTAGAGTCAGCCAGAGTTTGTTAT